AATAGTTAAACAATGTACTCCAGCAGTTCTGATGTAATTATGACTTTGTTACTGCAGGTTATCAAATTTCTTACCGTTTGGATATCAACGACCCCAACAAGTTTACCACGGTTGAGGTGGGATCCAACGCGCGTCAATTCACAGTGACGGGACTGATTCCAGAATCGGCGTATGTTTTCCAAATCACAGCGCGCACTCAAAAGGGCTGGGGACCCCCGGAGGAGGCCATCGTCATAACGACAGAAAAAAGAGGTATGTTTGAAGGCTTAATGTTCGATTGTGTTGTTATCAAATTGTTCACTACTTAGGCTACTGTAGACTTATTTACATTAACAGTGACAAATTGGATGTGACTAAGGCTAAAAACTCGCTGAAACGCTCGTGTTTCGTGGAGTCAGTTTGTCTGAGTCGAATGTCAGCTGATAAAGCATACTGTCAAAACAGCATGTGGCCCTTCGGAGCTGACTGCATTTAAACTCGAGCTCAAAATTAGCCGCGAGCCGGGTCTGTGACACATGCATATGCCCAGCAGTGACTCATTACACATGTCTCACAGAGCGGCCACAGCACCCTCGACGACTCACCGTGCCTCAGAAAGGGGTGGAGTCTCATAAGCTGCGACTTCATTGGACGCCGGGGGGAGACGGCTCTTCCCCAGTGCGCTACTTCACCCTGCAGGCATTAGAGCTGCCAGACGGCGAGTGGAAGACCCACACATCCTCCATCGGTCATAATAACACCTCCTGGGAGGTGGATAGGTAACACACTCGCACATATCTCTCTCTGATTAGTCATAACTGCCTGTGCGGCCAACGGCTGGTACAAGAACAGTCACTATTTATAGCATAATGTGCTTTAGCTCTGACAGACAGAAGACATTAAAATACACAGAATGGAGGTACGCTTGAGCTCGTTGTAAGTTTGGGATATGCAGACGTGGAAATAATTGAAGCTATAATTCAATAAGCAAATATTTTATATTGCACAACAAGGAGGTAACAAAATCATTTTTTTGGACATGATTGAAAGGGTAATGCCATGTTTTTGGACCATATTAGCACCATGCTTTTTGTTTTGTTTTTGAACATGGCTGCATAGGTTATGGCATGTTTTGTTTCTTGTTTACATACAGACAGTATGTGTTGTTTTTTTAGGACATGTACCATGGTAATACCTTGTTTTTTTGGCATTTTTTCCAGACTGTTTTGTTTTGTTCGTTTTTTGTTTTGGTTTTACGTACACCATAGCAGTAGCATGGCATTGTTTTTTTTTTATCACATTAATACTATAGGTTTTGGGGGGACATGTGCATATAGCAATTATATAATATAAAAATATATATAAAATTTTTTGTTTTTTTGCGGCATGGTACCATCGCAATAGCATGTTTTTTTTTAGAAACGTACCATCAAAATGTTATTGAATTTTTTGGGATATGCACAATGCTATTCTCTGAGCTATGTAAATAACACAATTATAATAACGATTTAGTCCCATGGTATTGATTCCATCACTTTATCCCACAGTACGACTACTGGGTGAAAGAGTCAGGGTGAGAATGAAAAGGGTTCAAATTGAAACAACCTTTTGGATTGAATCAAACAAAGCTCTTCAAACTAAAAGAGTGAAATTACACAAAACATGTAGGGCATTTTATATTATTGACATGCAGTGACACTGATGAGACATCATTAAGAATAAAAAAGAGAATAAAATCGTCAGACAGAGCAAGAGTGAGAGAGAGAGGGAGAGGGAGAGAGAGTGCAATCATAATCAGACTGGCCATCGGGTGGCCTGATGTCTAATCACACGTCCATTCAGCTCCACCCGCTCACTAACCTGTTTTCTGCTCTCCATCCTCCAGAACTGCAGCACTAGCTCATATTCTTTCACGCTGCCTGTTCGTTCTTCTCATCATCACCTGTGTGATTCATGCTGTCATCTTCGTTCACGTCTCTAAATGTCCACTTGCATTAAGGGGAAGTATATATCGAGCTAAAGGACTTGCCTCCCCGTAACACCATTTATCTCAACCTGTTTTGTAATGGAACCATGGGAGCATTTCTGCATTCAGTACCACTCGATTACCCACAACCCACATTCCTGTCCTTTTAATTACCCACATATGCCTTTCACTGACATTCAGTGACTCATCGTAAGCCATCTTCTGACTGCAAAGGAGGCACAGAAGATGAGTCTGAAGCACCATGGATAACACGCAAAAGTGCATTTGCACAGACTATTTAATGTGGCACAGAGCCGGAATAAATGTAAATGTATTTACTGTGTACCGGAATCACAAAAAACAATCACTATGCTTGGAGTACAACTGTACTACGCTCACTAGTTCTGCAATATATACAGTAGTTTGCACTGCTACTATACACTGTATGCTGATTTGAGAATGCAGACAATGGCTGAATTGAATTTAAAAATTTGAATATGAATTTCAATTTGTATTTAATGTAATTGAATGTATGTACATTACCGTTATATTGTACATTACAAACGTTTGGAGCCTGTAGGATATTTGAAAGAAGCCTTTCACACACACTCAGGCTGCATTTGTTTAATCAAAAGTACAGTAAATAGAAACAGAAACACTCAGAAATATTATAAAACATTTTTAATATTTTACATTCTAATTTTAAATTTTAAAATATTCTTGGCATGGCAAAGCTGAATTTTACAGTCTTCAATGTCACATGATCTTTCAGAAATCAATTTATTATGCTAATTTGGTGTTGAAATAAATTTCATATCAGTGTTAAAAACTGCTTAATATTTTTTGGAATCCTTTTTTCAGGATTTTTGGATGAATTGAAATATTAAAAGAACAGCATTTATTTAAAATATACATTTTACTGAATCTCACTGATCCCAAACCTTTAGAGTGATATATTTCATCATATTTAATAAATCAACTTTTATTTTATGGACCACAGTGAAGGACCACTTCATTTCCTGCTTCATTTCATTTCAGAGAGTCGATTATTACATTCTGAATTTTTCCATACTTTGTACAGCAATGTAAATGGACCTACTGATACTTGCCTATTCAACCATTTATTTCCTGTATAGTTTGTGTATATGCTGCTACAGTGCTTTGCTTCAGTTGGTCTCGATTTCTTTCTTTCTCTGTCACACACGCATTTTTCATAATTGCATGAACCGAGTGTTTTAAACCAAGAGGATGTTTGTGTTCAAACCATCTTGATTCTCAGAGGAGTAAATGCCTCCAGCTATTAAAACAGAAATGCCACTAACAGTCCTCATCTTCAACGCCCTAATTATGAACACACACACACACGTAAACACTCACAACGACACAAGCACCCTCAGAGTCCTGATTCTCAAATCCCTAATTGCTCACTTCACACACATGCACACACAGAGAGTCAAAGTTTCCCTGATGGCCCACTTTGATATACATTACCCACAACCCTGTGTCCCCTTCCCACGTCCCCTCAAAGTTTGAAAAGCAATAACAAATCTGTGCAGTTGCCTAATATTAACTAATTATAAATGAATAATGAGCCATTCTTATAAACATGAAAATCTCAAGAAATATTCAAGTGTTTGGTATCTGTTCAAGCACTTGAGCAAGACATTGTGGGTTGAGCAGACATGTCTACTCAACAGATTGGGATGTGTTCTTATGACTGTATTTATAAATGCATTTGTATGATACCTTACCTTTTGTAGCAAGAGCGTCTGTCTCTGATTTTCTCAAAAGAAGTCTAAAAATGCATCACTTATGGTTCCTGTTGGTACTTGAGAATGATCTAGTGTGTGAGTTGAAATGCATCTCTTTTCTTGTAGACTGAAGCCATACACCTCTTACAAATTTAGAATGATGGCCACAAATGATGTGGGAGACAGTGCCTTCAGCAAAGAAACTGAGCCAGTTACCACTCTGCAGGACGGTAATACTAGATTCTGTGTGTTGTGCAAAGTGAATTATAATTTTTTAGAGTGCTTTTTGGATCTGAGTATTTGAGAAAGCATCTGAGTAGATAGTAATTTTTTTTTTGAGTATTTGGAGGAGAAAACATAGAATAGTGGATAGACAAATGGAAGCTTGTCATTCTATCTACATTTTCTCATCAAAAAATTATCGAAATAATGTTCATAAAATAGATAGATAGATAGACAGACAGACAGACGAACGATAGATAGATAGATAGACAGACAGACGAATGATAGATAGATAGATAGACAGACAGACAGACAGATAGATAGATAGATAGATAGATAGATAGACAGACACGAATGATAGATAGGTAGACAGACAGACAGATAGATAGATAGATAGA